GCTCGAAGAATATTCGGCACATTAAACGCATTAAGGCGTAATTTCTTCGTCTGAAAATATTGGCAGAAAACAGATAGGAAACCTGGACGTATTGGACTTTCGAACGCGTCATGATGACGTCATTTAAGTTGGCCAATCAAATCTCGAGTATGCCACTAAACTACGTAAAGGGCAGGTTTTCTCCGCTTAGTGGGTGCCTGGACGTGTTAAAACGTGAAAAATACAGGATATTGATCAGCAGCTGTGTATAATTCAAAAATGTCCTTTGTAACACCGAGTATGAGACAGAAGTGTTTTCGACAGATGACAAGACCACGAAAAGCGTTAATAACTTATCGTGAAAATTGATAAAAAGCGGACTCTAAAAGGCCCCAAATCGAAAAGCTATTCAGTCACGCCCACGGGGACAAGATGGAAACCGATGAAGCGGTGGAGGCAGGCAACGTTATTCTTTGTACCTCATTCATAGAATTATTAAACTTTCTGTGTTGACAACCAAGTCTGGTGACTATGCAACTGTCATCTAACAGCGGTGAACGACCTACAGGACAGAAGTGGGTTCAGTGCAAGCGGAAAGAGAGTAATTTTCAAGACAAACCTCATCTTCCGAGTGGAGATAAGCATGCGCAGTGTTTAAGGCGAGAATTGCACTCTCAGATGGGGTTTTGGATTATCTGCGATAATTTCTGGATAGATTTTCTTTTTACAGTCTGCACTTATTTGCTGCACGAGCGCGTAAGCTAAGAATTTACCAGTTTCTGTCTAAAACAGCCGCTTAACAAGTGTCCCTACGATTACCGTCTGCTTGTTAATTAGCGAGATGCATAACAGGCGGTTGAAAAGTACATGTCCCAGGAGCCTGTGTGTCAACACGCATTCAAAAGTACGGCATGTGAATATGCAAATTATGAGTAATCAGCCCACGCAGTATAGTGAAGTCTGCTGTCTGGGTTTATGGTCCTATCCTAATAACCTGATTACGGTGTCGGTGTATGTGTGGAAAAGGTGCTTTCCCCTAAAGCACTGTAGAAGGAATTAGCTTTGTGGATTATGGGCGCAAGGAAGTACCTCAGATGTGCGTAAAGAAGAAGAAGCAGCCGAGAGAGTTCAGGTGAGAAGAGGGAGGTGCGATCTCTGGAACAAGAATTTCAGTAGTCTGACCTTTCAGAAATGAACAAGTCTTGAGCGTGTATGAACTGCACGGCTGCGTCCCAACTGTCTCCCTTTAGGTTCAATTTCAGGAAAGGGTACCAAGAACTGAATCTTACGCTGGGTGCATTGGGCGATCGTTCAGACCTGATGGGAAGGGCATTTAGGGCCATCATATGCACATTCTCTGCCAATGAAGTGGTGCATGTTACTCATGAGCTTGACTGAATTGTTTTTGGACCGAAAACTAGTACCTCCAACTACCTTACCTGGGGAGCAAATGTCGGCCAACTTGGCTGGTTACCCAACTGAGGTGACCCACGGGTGAGGCTTCGAGGATTCACCAGTGGCCCTAGGCAAGCTGCAAGTAACTTTCTATATATACATAAATGGCATACCGTACTGAACTTGACTGGTAGTACTGGCTCACAACGCTGTTATTTATGTTGACGCCAATACTCCAAAAACAACAACAAAAACAACAACGACAAATACTACTGCCGCTACTGCTACTATTGTGATTTACACCAGTGTTTAGATTGCCCAAACTTCTATTCCTATTCATGCGTCTGTCAATAATGTCATTAATGTAAATGGTCATATAATGAGTGATTCTTCTCCTTATGATACTCCCATAATCATAACCATTGATGCAGTAGCACGATTACTACCAGTGTCACGGTAGACAATGACGGCCGACATGATGGCTCGCCTTGCTGCAATGGATAGAGCAGACGAAGAAAGTCCTTCAGAACAGGCTTAACATCTGAGAATAGTCGTCCAACAATCAAAAAATATTAAGATGGGCCTGGCGTTTATAAAAGGACTGAAAGGCAATGTGAGGATAACGTTGGACTATGTCGTAAGTCAGTAGTCGAATGGAATGCTATATACCACAATATATGTTCGACAGCCTTCATAACACAAACAAGACAGATCGCGGGCCCGGAAATAGAGGTGCAAAACATTACCCCTTTATCGGTAATGCTACCCTGCCTTTCTAACATGCCGCCGTGTGGCTGCTGGCGAGGCTCGAGGGAGAGCCCTAAGACACAAAGGGACTAATGAGTTCCGTACTGCGATCAGTGAGCGCTCTCCTATCATATAGGTGCATGGTGATGAAACAACAATAAGCCGTTGTAAATACATTTGGGGCAGAGGAAGAAAATAGCTTTGGATTGTTGATATGTACGATGCCAACCGAAGAAAGGTCGTTTTTGAACAAATAACCAACAGAAGCTGGTCTACCCGGAAGGTGGTGGTAACAGAGTATGTGGTCAAAGGAAGTGTCATCTTAACCGACGAATAGAAGGTCTACAGACGTCTGCCATCTAGAGGAAACGAACAGTTTGCGGTCAATCATTCCACCAATTTCAAAGATCCTCCCACAGGAAGACATATCAATACCATTCAGGCATATTGAAGCTGACTGAAAAGGAACCTGTAGGGGGAGGACCGCTATCAGGTCGGGTCATATGGGAACATGCAGACGAAGGGCAATATCGCCTATGGTTTGGCTTGTACCCAGCCGGCCTAAAGCAAGCGTAGGAAACATTCCTGTCGCATTCCTGGTCGAGACGTACCCCGTGCATCCTCATCCCCGACGCTGAGCCTGAATGACTATTTGCCAAAACCAATTTGTTGACTGTGTGTAAGTAAATTCCTTTACATAAGGGCAAATTCAACCGGACAAACTGATCATTGTAAAAGCGGGGGTATAAACGAAAATTGTCAAAGGTAGGCAGCGGTCGTAGGTGAAGGGCACCGCTAGTTTGCGACAATGTTCGCAATGAAAACGACAGTAGGGAGGACTATGAGTAGGAGAAAAGAACTTAAGACTGGCAAACTTGTCGTCAAAGCCGAGCCAACGACAGGAAGCCGAGTGCGGCACGACGATAGCAGTGAGTGCTGAGTCAAGGAAAACTGATAATGAGGCCAAATAGTGCATATGTTACTGTTCCCTGGATAAGTTCAACCCATCCAACGAATGCGGGTACCAGGTGGACGGTAGGAGAAAACTGAACCCAGCAAGGAAAGTTACACGAAAGCACAACTATACGAAATGAAAGAGTCAAACGCTAGAAGAATGATGAACGGAGTCGAAGACCGGAATTGTAACGAATCTAATCACACTCGTATAGTGAGTATCGATATGACCCAATAAGGCCACGCTAGTCTCTGGGGAAAAGAATAACATCAGGGCATACGAGTAGAAAAATAACAACGGAGGACAGATGTCATGCGCGAAGCGTATAAGCGACCCTGTGGCAGGTAATTTGTTAGTGAAAAAGGACATAGTGAATCGAATATGCAAGTACGGTAGTGGCAGTGCCCGAGGTAGGGCATGGCGGATGACGGCCTACAGCCTCGGGAAACCTACAAAATAAGGCCTACTGAAATAACAACAGTAGCAAGTCGTGGATACTAAACCCAATGGCATTACATACCCTATCCTTGTCGGGAAAATCAAATCAACCAGCCACGTGATATATTTTGACCGAGGTCAAGGGCTCCAGCTGACGATGGGAAGCATCTGGCATAGGGAAAGCTCTCCAACTTCCGAAGGATGCGGTCTCGACAAACCAACGCATTAGTATCGTGCAAAATCGATCATGTCAGGCTCAGTAATGCTAAGAATGCGTGCAATCAGAGTACCTCCGTCTAGAGCCAACAACTTGCCCAGGAGAAGTCAAAAGTAGGGTACGAGAATATGGATACTTCTATTACAGCCTTGCGCTAAATTTCGGGGAGAGCGGGAGGTTAGGATTAGCGTTATTGGGGTTAGTTCTAGGGTTAAAGCTATGACACGGGAATAGGCAGCCCGTCCAGAATTTAACGCAAAGCCACTTGAAATACAGGGGTCTATTTCCCCATATCCAACCAAATCTAATTGCTCCTTCCTGATCTCAAGACGGGTGTCAAACCATGGATGGAATTTCCACTACCTCGGTCAGTCAGCATAATCCCGCAGCTACAGCATATTTTGACCTTTCGTCTGAACTTCAAATCCGAACTTGTCTGTTAACTATTTTTCGTCAAAATTGCAATTCATCGGAGCAGGTAAATTTGTTCCACTGAGATGAACGTCACGCAGACCAATTCAGGCGTGATTGTTTATGCCTTTCAGTCATCCACGATGGTGGACATAGAAATGGGCACCTCCCGTACTGTAGATGGCCTTGCGCCAAATTCTAGGGGGTATCTATTCCTATTTCTCAACCCTAATCCTAAATCTGAACCCAACTGTAATCTTAAATTTGCTCCTCGCCTTAACCTCACATGAATCCCAACTCCGATCCCCACCACAACCCCGGCCTAGTCTTACTCTACTCTAGAATTTAGCGCAACGTCACCTGTGATACCGAGGTGCCTATTACCGCTTTCTTTAATCTAAGACGTTTTCTTGTTTTTTTCAATTAATTTAGCTTGAAATTCCTCTCACAGTTCGAATGGATGGATGTAATCCGTTTTTGCTCTGCAAAATGGAAAAAACTGCATACGGACTACAACGCGCACACATCCCAGTAGCCTAATGTGCTCTCTTACCATTGTTGTTATCGAGCGAAGGCGACGCGAAATCTGCCGAAAATCACACGTTGTTTCGTAACTTTTAATCCACTAATTAGCAGTGGCCCAGGGTTCATCCCAACATTTGGCTGTCAGCGGCTTTGATTTGCATACCCCCACACCCGGATCGTCTGCCACACATTTCTTGGTCTGTTGGAAGGCACGATGACGTCAAGAGCATAGTCGTATCACGGAGTGGGCAGATAATTCATCATGCGGCTCGGTCAGGCCCTGCAATCGGCCCAATCAGCCAGCACGAAGACAGTGAACAGATTGGCCCGTTAATGTGGGATATTGACGTACTTTTGGAGTGCATTACGTCAGCAAGGTGTGATTGCAACAGCAGCAGCAGCAGCAGCAGCAGCAGCAGCAGCAGCAGCAGCAGCAGCAGCAGCAGCAGCAGCAGCAGCAGCAGCAGCAGCAGCAGCAGCAGCAGCAACAACAACAACAACAACAACAGCATGAACAACAACAGCAACTACTACTTCGACTACTCCTACTACTACTACTACTACTACTACTACTACTACTACTACTACTACTACTACTACTACTACTACTACTACTACTACTACTACTACTACTACTACTAGGTCAGTATAAGTCAGTATATTTTAAGAGCAATAGGCAATGCCTTTGAAAACCCTATTGTAAATGGTACAAGCAATATTTCACTTTAAATAAACATGGTACTGAAATGTTGTCAGTAATATACACATTTAACAGAATATTTTCCGCGAAAATGTAGAACCAAAACTTGAGAACATTCAGTTGTAGATGATTTCAGTAAAATGTAATGACAGTCATCCGCATTAGCGGTATGAGTATGCAAGGCGTTGGTTTAGCACCACAGAGCTGTTCTGTCCAGACAAGCGATAGTGTCCAAGCAAATATGCATCGAGTCTTTGCTTGAACGTCTCCGTGGTATCCGCCATTATTACGTCCTCGGGAAGCCCGTTCCAGGCACCGACGACTCGCTGTGAAAAACAGTATTTGCGCACGTCCAGGCGGCATCGGGATCCTCTAAGTTTAAGAGAGTTCCCACGCAGGTTTGTTGTTGTGGCCAGGGTGAAGAAATCGTCGGGGTTTAGGGCACATTCCCGGTTCCTCAATATCCGATAGGCCTGTATGAGATCTCCTCGAACCTGCCTGTACTCAAGAGGAAAAAGTTTAAGTTCCCTAAGTCGGCAGTCGTAAGGTTAAGTCCTGAGGCCTTTTACAATTTTTGTTGCTCTCCTCTGAACTCTTTCTAGCAACTTATTGTCTTTTTTAGCCACGGGCGCCACGCTTGGATTCCATATTCCAGATGCGAGCGAATGAACGCTCCGTATACTTTTCCAAATAACTCTTTGTCTATGTCCACGAAAGATCGTTTAATGGCAAAGAGAACACTAGTTGCTCTTTTGGACGCCCTAACACACTGAGATGAAGGCTTAAGGGTCGACAGAATGTTAATCCCAAGATCTTTTTGTTCGGTTACATTTGAAAGGCATCTTCCACCAAGTTGGTAATGGTGATCCTCTCCGTCAGATCTTCCAGTCGTTTTGAGTCGCAGATCGACGCACTTCTCTAGGTTAAACTTTAGCAGCCATTTGTCAGACCATTCGCATAGGCGGTTCAGTCCTTCTTGCAGGACCCGTTCATCATGTTCGCCGTTGATCGCTCGCCATAACTTGATGTCATCAGCAAACATGACTCCATTGCAGTCCAGTCCATTCATACAGTCGTTGACATAAATTAAAATAGTACTGGTCCGAGTACGGAGCCCTGCGGAACTCCACTCACAACTGGCACTAGTGTTGACTTCGCACTACCAATACACACAGACTGTGATCGACCAGTCAGAAAGTCCTTTACCCAGTTTAATAGGTTTCCCCTTATCCCTGACTCTCGAACCTTGTAAAGTAACCGGTGGTGTGGAACACTATCAAAGGCTTTCTTGAAATCTATGTAAACGATATCGACCTTTGTTCCTGCGTCTAACGAGCGAGACCACTGTTCCGTTGAATGAAGCATATTAGTTAGGCAGGAGTGATTTCGTCGAAAGCCATGCTGAGAACTAGCAAAGAAATTATTTTCTTCAAGGAACTTCATTATGGATTTTTTGACTATTCTCTCCATAACTTTGCAACAAATGCACGTTAGGCTCACCGGCCGATAATTGTTTGTACTTGTTCTGGATCCACCCTTGTGAATGGGGTATATGTTCGTCACTTTCCAATCAGAGGGGAGAATGCCTCGGTCAAAGGACGACCTAAGGATGTGCCAAAGCGGTTTGGCGAGTTCGCAAGCCAACTCCTTCAGCACTTTTGCCGGAATTTGGTCTGGGCCCGGAGACTTGCTCTCCTTAAGCGCTAGAATTTCCTTCCTCACATCTTCTTCCGTGAAGTCTATGTTTTCTATTATTTCGTCGGTTGTCCCAGCAGGAGATCCAGCCTCGTCAAAGTCCGTTTCATCGGTGAAAACCGATACGAAAAACCGGCTTAGATTTTCTGCCTTAGCGTCATTTTCGATGATATCCTCATTGTTTTCTCCTTTCAACACTGCGACCGTCTCCTTGTTCTTTAACCTACTGTTTATGTAGCTGAAGAGCACTTTTGGCTTATCGACGGCCCGTTCCATAACTCGCATTTCATACTCCTTCCGTGACCTGCGGATAGCCCCCCTTACCTCGTTTCGCTTTCGACGAAATTGCTCGTAATGGGATGGTTGTTTTGTTGTTGCATACCTTCGCCATAGTTTTTTCTTCCGGTTTACTTCTTTCTTTATATCCCGCGTTATCCAGGCAGGACGATTATTCTTTTTGACTCTCTTTGTCGGACAGTTTCAATGCATGATGTCTGTTACAACTCCTTTGAGAGTGTTCCAATCAACGTCTGGATGTCCGGAAAGAAAGTCATCCCAGTCCACTGCCGATAATTCCCTTCTCATGGCGGCAAAATCTCCTCGCCAGAAATTCAGTCTAGGCTCAGTCGTATTCGCTTGTTGGCTGCATAGGCGATATGCCCAAAACAGCATGGCATGGTCACTCTTACCGAACGGTGTTATGGACCTAAGTTCGCCAGGGCTAATCGGGTCTTTTGTAAGGACGAGGTCCAGACAATTCGCTCTTTGGTCCTCTCTGATCCTGGTTAGGGACGCGACGTTTTGTACCAGAAAGAGATTAGCCGTTAGCTTCAAGAGCCTGGAATCGAAGGAATTTCGCGAGCCATTTACTAACAAATTGTTCCTGTCGACCATGGGTGCGTTGAAATCTCCGGTTATCAGTACCTCTTGGTTTTGTGACACCTCTTTAATTAGCCCAAACAGCGCCTCGTCAACCTCATCAGTTTGATTGGGCGGCCTGTATACGGTCAGGAAATTCAACTTAGGTGCGCCACGCATCCTCAGTTTTAACCACATTGCTTCACAGTCGCCGGAGCAATCGGTTTTGTGTTCCGACGCGATGATTCCTCTCTTGACGTAGACCACTATTCCTCCTCCTTTTCTATGCAGTCTGTCCCGGCGAAAAAGTTGGTATCCCTCAAGTGTTATTTCGGCATCCAAGACTTCGGTCTGGAACCAAGTCTCTGTGATAGAAATGACATCCGGCTGCGTATCTGTTATCCATACTTTCAGCTCATCTAGCTTATGAAACAAACTCTGAGCATTTCCACAAAGAAAGCGGAGCTTAGACCGGGCAGATTCCCGAACGGTTCTTGGGCCGAAGTTGCTGGATACTTCGCGCGAGTTTTCGGGTCTATCGTCCTCTTCCGAGTCTACTGCTGTTTGATTGGACTGGATGTTAGTGTGTTGTCCGTCGTTTTCTCTGATCGGTTCGTCAGATAGGGGCGTTCTTTCCTTGTTATCTGGTTGTTCATTATGTTCAGTGTTATTGGTTGTTTCCACAGGAATGAGCTCCGAACATTTACGATCTTGCCACTCATTATTCTTAGCTTTTTCTCGCCGGCATTGTATCTTCTGAGGAGTTCGGCCTTTAGTTCCCTCCATTTCTCCCGTTCGGCCGGTGAGAAATCCCGCTGAAAAAAATTGTAGGGTGTGCATTTCGCAGTGCTGGTTTCCTATTCAACAGTAATAGTGCTTGTTTCTCACTTTCGAGAATAATTTTTAATGGTCTGTGATGGCCCGACTCGCCCTCCAAATCCTTAATGGGTCCTATCCTGAAAGCTTTCAATACGGTGATGTTCTCGTTCTCTTGTAATAGGGATTTAAGGTATTGCTGAAATAATTCTATATCGTGGCTTATTCTGTTCTTTGGGATGTCTGAAGAAGGCTCAGGCATACCCTTTACGTTGATGCATTTATTGCGATCAATAGGGCGCTGTCGTTTATTTTTATACGCACAGTCGGCATCCCGAAAGTTTTTGTTGTCATCAATGTCCCCTTCAGCGACAGTTGTCATGGTATAGCTATCGTAGGGTTCCTCGTTTATCGAGGCTTCCTGGTCATGAGGTACCTCTTGCGTCAGTGAGGCATCTTCTTGTCTTCTGTGTGGACTCTGCTCTCCCCTGCTGGCGCTCTGACATACTTGGTCTTTTTGGGATGCTTTGAGACGTCTCCTGGTTTTTTGAGATGCCCTTCGGTTATTTTGCGCTTGCACATGAGATAGGGTCTCGATTGCAATGGGGTCCGTAGACGGGCTGTCTTCTTTTTCAGGGGCTAATACAGTTATTGAAGTCGTATTGGCCGTTTTTCCGGTCATCTTCTGAACTTCCCACATCGCCATCTTTCTCCTTTCGGGTGAATAGTGAGGCAGTTTCATCAGCTTCTCCATCTCAAATCTTAAATTCCTTATATCCTTCTCCATCTCCAAGATTTTCTGAAGAAGTCTAAACATGACGTGCAGGTTTCGTCCTCGCATTTAACATCCAATAAAGTTATTAGACTCCTTGCGCGTTTGGCGGGAGGTGATTTGACAGCCGAAGACTTATCGCAATAGTCATTTGCACAGCGTCTTTCTGTTATTTTATTATTTTTGTCAAGCCATCTGCTGCGCGTCAATGGCATAGTGGCAGCGACAATGTCAGCATCACTACTACTATCAGATCGGATCAGATCAGATTTATTAAGGGAAAAGTAGGCGAGCGCCTTTGAACTCCCTTTTGGTTACAATAACGTCATAAAAAAAACAATGTGTAAGGCAAGTGTGAAAAAAATTCGGCAAGTAATTACATACAACAAGCATTGGTCACTGGTATGAATTTGTCTGTGAATGCCTTCTATGTCAAAATTGTACAATATCCAGTACGGTACTGAATGGACCAAGAAATATTAAAGCAAGCGCATATGTGGCGGGCAGGAGATAGCAAAAATTGTAAAACGTAATGTTACTAAAATATAGGGAGTAGCGTGCTTTGTAACATAAAACGTTGGATGGGGCGGGTGGCACAGGGGGGGAATTCGTTAGTTTCTGATGCTGTGGAGGTACATATCCCTGTACTGGTCAAGCTTTCTCTTAAATGAGTCCACGGATGAGGACATGACGACGTCCACAGACAGGGCGTTCCATGCCTTTACCACTCTGTGGCTGAAGAAGGATCTCCTTGCGTCCAGTCTCGCTCCTGTCACGCGTACTACTACTACTACTACTACTACTACTACTACTACTACTACTACTACTACTACTACTACTACTACTACTACTACTACTACTACTACTACTACTACTACTACTACTACTACTACTACTACTACTACTACTACTACTACTACTACTACTACTACTGCTACTACTACTACTGATATTGCTGCTGTCGCTGCCGTTGCCGCTGCTGATAGTACTGCTGTTGCTGTTGTTGGTGCCGCGGATGCTGCCATAAAGTATCAGTATTTGTGGTATTTACATACCCCTAATTCTATAGCAAATACGGTTGGCATAGACGAATTAAGGAAATGTGCCATTTGCAGGTTGATTTCACAAACCCACTACTAATTCACGATTCTAAACCTATTCGCCTGATCAGCTGGCGGTCGGGGCAGTTAAGATAGTTCACATGGCGTAATGTGTGAACCAGGTACTTCTGGTTGGGTATCATCATGAATTTTGTAATTTTACCATTATCTAACGAAAATTTGCTGCAGATATTAGTTACTGTACTGATCAGCGTTCTTACTGTGAGGCTTCAGGTTAACCTTGGGAAACGAGCCGGGATAAAAGACAGTGAAAATAGGTAAGAAAGGCTGCAACTATGGCAGTCAAAATTTGTTTGAAAATATAAGTCTACAAAAAGTGTGCGAAAATCAAACGAAAAAGGTCCCTTCGGTTGGCATGGAAATTTAGACCTCCCGTATTACGGGTAGTCCTCTCCGAAATTCCAGATTGGAGTTAGAGGTAGGGCTAGGGTTAGAGGTGAAATAGGGTTACGAAGGTTGGCGTTATGGGTAGGGGGTCTAGGGTTAGGATACGGAAATATGAACCCACTGGAGTTTAGTTGGGGGCCACTTGTGATACGGGGGTTCATATTCCCCAGTCCGACCGGTGCTTTCAAATCCAATAAACACGCCGTTTCTCCAAATCTCAGTACTAAAGATATACAACTTCGCCACCGAGACAGTGGTGGTACCCATCGAAAATAATAAACGAACCAACAAGTAATTACGAAATATTCGTACAAAGTATCACTTCGCCCGTCTACGGATGGGTGGTTGCAGTTAGGCAAGAGAGGGTTTAGTAAAGGTTAAAACGACCTCCTGCTAATTATGCTAGATGCGTTGGCATGGCTGTCTGGCTTACGGAGAGCTCTGAAAAAACTCTTTAACGGTTGGTAACTATGTTGTACCAAAGTATTTTCTATTTATTTACTTTTCTTGTCCTGCGTGGCACAGCTTGGCTGCAACAACCCCACTCATTGGCACGCTACCAGTTTTGGATAGGAACATTGATGGAGTTTGCAAAGTTGTTCGAAATTGACAACTGTCAGCCAGAGCTGACAATCGGTATTCCCTTCAAACTAAATCCACCAACCTCGTAAGGAGAGTTGTTTTCTGACTCAGTTTGTGGCAGTAATTCAGTGTTGCGAGTACATCCCGTACCGGACCTCGTGAACAATAGGTCGGCAGCCCTGATTGTGTTTTCAACTAAAAAGGGTTACTCACGTTAGGCGCCATAACTCGTAGACATGGGACGTAAACCCAAGCCAACATATACGTGGAGTGCACCCCTTTCCCAATGAAAGTTTTGTTGACTATTTACGGGAATTTCAGTCTGAAAAATAACTCTCTCCTGTTTGATCGGAATCAAACTAACCAGTAGTGACTGTGTGAGTAGGACTGGCTAACGACAGAAAAGAGGCCAGAAATGAACATGCTGGCCTTTCGTTTTGTAAGAAGACCAGGTCGAGGAACAGCCTTCCTGCGTAATTTTGGACGGTATTTCCAGCTAGAGCAGTCAGAAGGTTCTGGAGCACACAAGAACATTGGAGGCTGGTCTCGTTTGCACATATCAGCCAGTCATAGGTTACTTGCAGATCTCGTAGGAAAACACATTTCCTGCCTAAATGAAGGACAGTCATACTGAGTCTTCAGAAATGGTCTTCGTTTATGAAAATTCGCCCGCGCCACACGTAAAGCTGTCAAACAGCGAATTGTCCAGCAATTTACTTATTGATGGACAGTGACCGGTCTCCAGGGGGGACGTGTTATCAGCCGATAAGTAACACCTGAGAGCGGTTAGTACGACTTCCATTGCAAAATCAGTCCAATCATTTCTAGTAGAGAACACAGTCAGGGGTTCCGATCAATGTTTGCGAGGTCCCGCACACAATATACTCGCAACACCGAAATACTGTCATTTGCGAAATTACGAGACTGACGGATCCAATCCCACGTGAATACCGACCATCAGCTCCGACTGATCGCTCTTAGCTTCGGACAGCTTCATGACCTCCACTAGTGTTCGCAACTAAAATTAGTAATTTTCCAGTATGTGAGATTGTCGCATACTAGCTGCATTACGCAAGACCAGGCAGGCAAATAACCAGAAAGTACTCTGGCTCATATTCGTTAAGTACAGCGGATGGGGTCTATCTACCAACAGCTTGCTGTTAGCCGTTACAGGCTGCACCTCGGACGCTGTGTTCCTAGGATGTACAAATTCTTTGTTATTTCGCTGAGCAGTGAGGGCTCTATAGTTCTGGGTGGCATAATGTCTTTTTAGCTAACTAATCAGTTTTAAGGCATTCCCGATTCCAAAATATGACCGTAGTATTAAATAAATCAATCCGTTGACATCCGCGTGCCTTTTTTCTGCGAACCAGTTACTATACTTGAACGTCATGTGGTCGGTCCACACTGCTTTTGCCGCGATTGCCTTAGATTCGCCGTTACTTATAAGAGTCCATTCTGGTATCTTTCAGCATTTAGGCTGACTTGGACATCTCAGATAAATGAGGCTTTAACGCTATAGCCTCAGTATGAATTCTCGTCTACACTTTCCATCTGATATGTATGCAAAACAGAAGACTGATTGTAGGCGGGACGTCTACTGAGCACGGGAGACAGTTCGAGTGAGGAGTCTTAGAAGGTGAGCTGGGTGTGTAGCACGGGGAAAATTGTAATAGGCTGGAAGGTTACCAATCGGCACTTAGGAGTTCTGACCACGGATCCGTGACCTTGACTGTCCGCTTGTCACGCGCATGTGGGCTTAGAAGACTTGATGTCTGTGGGAGCTTGCATGGAATCTTTTTATGACATAAATGGTCGTCGTGGCCGGTCATGTGCCCACAGAAACCATAATCAGTCAAACGGCTTTTGTTCGTGGATAACGCGGAAGATGCAAGGTGCAAGATGCAAGATGCCAAGAGAAAAGATCTGACATCCCTATCGGAGGGAGAGTGTGCCTGATAGCTATTGTTCGCACACGATGGTGAAAAACAGGTCCGGTTTCCGGATGCGCAGAGGATGGCTCAGATACGAGAACGGACTAAATGATTCTAACAAACAAAAGGATGCTAAGGCTGTGGCTGTATGTGTATGTGTTCAGAAAAGGTAGCGACACCCGCACGTAAAACAATGACATGACCGTTCCCACATTCGCCGTGCAATTTACTCAGTGTTCAATATAGATGGTGATACATACGCATTCCAAGACAGCTATCCAAATACGAAGTCTAGTAATGGGGAAAATCGAAGTCGAATTTCATCTGCGGCTTCTAGATGGACATAAGGCCCGCAGACCGAATTCGTTGCGTCGGCCCTCCTGAAAATCCTTTCCCCAGCTCTAACAGTGCCTATGTGCCTTATATCAAAGGTCAGTCTTGGAGCAACCATCGTCCCAAAGGATTGGGCGGAAAACCCTATTCACCTCATCTATCCAAGAAAGGGCCTGTGGTTGGTTTTAAACTACCACCGAGTCTACCTTACTAGTGTGGTGTTCGAGATCAAAGAAAGTTGCACCCGATCGCCTGTGTTACCTCCTGGGTGAACATAATCTCGTAAGCTCTAATCGTCATGGTTTCCTGAATAGCGATCAGGTTTTGTGGAACTTCTCGACTCGAACCTAAAAATTTCATAAGATATTAGGGTTGTAACAGTAGACCGCAGCAAAGCCTTTGATAACATTGTCCACCAGAAACTTGCTGAGAAATTTCGGGGATATAGTCTTGCTGGTAAACCACCTCCAGCGTGTACGTTCAAGCACCCACGTCAAATAAGTTGTGATATATATGAGTGTTCTCCATGGGTTGCCCTTAGGCTGTTCCACTTTTAATTTCTATACCAAAGGCCTACAGAGAGTTATAAATGAGCGCTTAGTGTTCATTAGTGACATTAATTTTGGTTCAGGGAAGAAGACATGCGTCCACCCAAGACGATTCTGTTCGTTATTATCAATGAGTTGGCCGACTGGATTTCGCATTGAATGCTCTGAACTACCAGATCCTCATAAGTAAAGTACAGTCAGCCTTTGAGATGCGTGTACAAACTGTATCACGTGACGAATAACGAAATGAGTAGACAGCTGAAGCAGGAATCGCTACTGTATTGGTCTATTAGCATCGAAAAACTGTCCGAAAGTCACAGAAAAAACCGGCAACCAACTTTTCGGAAATACATGGTAGTACTTCCTCGCATCTCGTCATCCTCCACAAGATATACACTGTTCGGCCGACCAAAGCTCGGACACCGTTTAACGGCTATGAATTTGAATCTCCTGATCCGGACGAGATTCCGACAAAACTGCTATCCAGACTTGTCCGAGAACTGGCTGAATCATTACACGTCTTGTTTTAGAAGTCGTTCCATGCTGGATTCCTCCCCATGGACTGAAAAACAGCCCACATAACACAGATTCAAAAATAGTAGTCATGCGCTTCTGATTGCCTACAAGCCCATAAGGCCGACGTTAATCTGCTGCAAAGTCATGGCGGAGGTCGTCGAAAAGGCAATGTTGAGTTATTTGGGAACTCGCAGCCAATTGCTTAGTGCTTAGTAGGGCTTTTTTAAGAACGATCGTGTGTAACGAACTTGCTTTGCAAGATGCAAAGCTGGACAACAGCGCTCGATGAAAATCACATTGCGCATGCCGCCTACGTTGATAGTAGGAAGGCCTTCGATAGTGTTTGGCGTAAGCGCCTTCTACACAAGCTGAAAGCAATGGGTCTCAGTGACAAACCTTTTGAATAGATCGAAAATTTCCTCACCGGCCGTTCCAAAGTTGTCTGTGCAGAGCAACAGCAATCAGGGCGCACAATCATGCAGCGTGGAATTCCCCAATATTTAGTGCTCGGATCGAGCCTCTTTCTCTT